TATGCTTTGCTGATTAATATACCAAATTACTTTAACTGTTCATTTTATTCCATCACTGAGTCCAACTTAACATTTTCTTAGTAAGTCTGAAACTGCTTGAGGAAGGAGGTGAATACTAACTTAAATGTCAACTTTTTGTGTTGGTCAAGGAACCAGTAATTTTTAAAAAAAATTGCAGATGAGCCACACACCAGCAGCTTGCACATTCCTGTCACCGAGGAGTAAAATCTGAATGGGATGGCGTTTGGAAGGTTTGTGGATGTAGGGGGTGGTGTTTTCAGGGCTATTGGGTCAAAGATAATAGAGACACTTTGCTCTAAACTCAAACTCTGTCCCCCCACCCTCTTTCCAGCCCCCATACTTTTCTTGGACGTCCCTGTTGCTACAGAGCTAACAGGCCTGCCGAAGCTCAAAGCTTAGGACCACCTTCCAAAGTCGGCAAAGACCCAGCTGTCTCTAATGCCACCCAAACTGTGTACATTCTCCTCATTGAAAGGAAACGGTTGACTCTGGAAAACAAATGTGTAAAAAAAGTGTTTGTGGTTTTCTGTTTTTTTTCCAGAGTCTCATTGATAATTTGTCCTAAGTGGGCCGGGAGGAAGGGAAGGGGTCAGCAGAGCGAGGGAAATAGAAGCTGTGGTGCTGCACTGAGCCCCGCCAGCGGGAATAAGATATCACGATGGTTACAAAGTTTGTTTATTTTGTTACATCCACCTCAAAGTTGTCACACATAGCCATAAGTATCACAGTGAATGAAATGGAATACTAGGCAGGATAAATGTAAAATACTGTTACCTGCATTTAAAAACATTTTTTTAAATGGCAGCATTGATATGTGTGGGATTTGAAGTGGGTGGACTTGAATTCTAAGAGTTTTTCAGAGTTGTGAAAATTGTTCCATTTGAATGTTCTTTTCTCCATTAATTAATATAGATGCCAAATTTAGCCAGGAAGCTAGGAAAGTAAACATATACACACACATTAAAGACGTAGATCTGTAACATTGTTCCAAATGCTTATAAGATATTTGCGAGGCTATACTCATGCTTAGATCTGAACTTTATGAGGTTAAAGCCGAAACAACAACTCTATTTTGTTTTAGACTGGGCCCACGGGTTTTATATTCTTGTTATGGTTTGAGGCTACAAGCTGTTGGATGCTATGAGTCACTTCTTGTCTTCCTCCTCCCAGGCTTCTTCAAATGGTTGTCTCTTTTTTTAGAGCTGATTTTTTAAAAAGCAGTGATTTAGGGGATGAGTTGTAGCATTCTTCTGAATTGCAAAGAGAATGGATTGGATCGTCCTAGTTTTGATGTCATGTATATGCACTGACTCATCTGTCCAAATCCTAGTCATATTATTAAGATCGTTTCTAGTTCCCATAATTACTCAGGCACCTTAAAAAAAAAAAGAAAAAAAAGAAGCAAATTCTTGATTCAGTGATTTGATTCAGTTTTGCACATCAGTATTTATCCTGGGAATCAGGGACAGGGCATCGGCTATAATGTGGACGGCGCCTCGGGTGATGTGATTGGTTTCTTGCCACTTTTCATTGGGGTTGGTGCTCTTCTCTCCCTCCACTTCCTCTGTCTGTATACCTCTACTTTCAAGGTTGCTGACTTTAATCTTTCTTTTGTGATTTCTTGGTGTCCCATACAAAGGTTACCCACTATTGTTGCCAGTGCTCTTTTCTTTCTGCTAAAAGGGTCAAAAACTTGTCACATCTCCAAAGAAATGATTGCATCAATTTGTTCCTGATGATAATAAATAGGGCTGTCAGAGAGGAGAGGCGAACTGAGGGTCCCAGCTGGGGGTTAGGGTGCAGGAGCCAGTGTGATAAGGAATGGGGTTCCTCACTTCTGAGCAAATGGATACTGCCCTTCTCTCTTCAGGCCCCAGTTGGGGTATTAATTTTAATAAGCCTTTGAGACAAATGGAGTGGGAGCATTCTGAGATGTTGAGCTGTAAAAGTCAAAATTACAGCAAGCAGTCTTTTTCCGGGGGGGG